TTGTTATAGGTGCTCTGCATAATGAAAAAATAATAATAAAAATAATAGTCGTCTGCATAATGAAAAAAACTAACTTAAATTATTCAACCAAGAACATTCCGATTCCATCAATAAAGGACTACAAAATACAGTTACTTGATAAAACCGAAGCATTAATAAAAAGAATGAGATGGAAAGCTTTCTTTTTCATCAATAAAGATCAAAAAAGTAAGGAAAATTTTTATTATAACAATTACGGCATAAAAACATCAAATTACCCCAAGCAAATCTCCGACATGACTGCATTTGAAAACGATCTGATAGACCTAATAAAAAACATTAAATTCCGTAAAGTCTACAATAATTTCCAAAACAAATTAAAGAATGACATATCTACCATACGCAATAGCAAACTTACTTACACTTTTTCCGATAAAACATCCAATTTATATAATATATCTAAAGAAAATTACACCCATTTACTTACAAACGCTATCACCTCAACATACAAAAAATCGAATACAAAAATAAAAAACCAAATAAATAAAGAAGGTAAACAGATATTACAGAATCACGACGTTTTTAATAAAATTAATATTAACACACCTTCAAATTGTTTTATAAAATTAAAAGACCATAAAGAAAACTTTACAAACAACCCAACTGTCCGTTTATTAAACCCCGCCAAAAACGAAATCGGCAGAATTAGCAAAGTTATACTTTCTAATATAAACTCTGAACTTGTCAATAAACTTCACCTCAATCAATGGAAAAAAACACAAGATACCACAAACTGGTTTAATTGCATCAGAAATAAACACCTTTGTAAATTCCTTGTTTTTGACATTGTTGATTTTTACCCATCAATAACAGAAAAATTACTCAACAATGCTATCCATTTCGCTGAACAACATCTAAATATTGAACCTAACCATAAATCATTGATCTATCACGCAAGGAAGTCATTACTATATAATGATGATCAAGTTTGGATTAAAAAATCAGGCGGTTTATTCGATGTTTCAATGGGAGCATTTGACGGAGCTGAAGTTTGTGAACTCGTGGGAATTTATCTATTGTCTCAAGTTGCACAGGTTTATAATAAAAATGATTTCGGACTATACCGCGATGACGGCTTAGCAGTTTTTAAAAACATGAGTGGCCCCCAAATGGAAAAAATTAAAAAACATCTTGTTGAAATATTTAAAAAAAACGAACTCAATATATCAATACAATGCAACATGAAAATTGTAAATTACCTCGACGTCACATTAAATCTAAATGACCATACTTTCCAACCATATTCTAAGCCCGGAAATTCTTTAAATTATATTCACACTGATTCAAACCACCCGCCAAATATTTTAAAACAGCTTCCGCATTCAATTGAGTTAAGATTGTCTGCAAATTCCTCAAGTGAAGAAATTTTCCAAAGATCTACCCCTGCATACAATGACGCACTGTTAAAGTCCGGTTTTAATCATAAACTTTCATACCACCCTAATTTAAATTCACCTTATACAAAAAACCGTAAACGCAACATCATTTGGTTTAACCCACCTTTCAGCAAAAATGTAAGCACTAACATAGGAAAAAGCTTCTTAACTTTAGTCAACAAACACTTTCCAATAAACCACAAGTTCCACAAAATCTTCAACAGAAACACCATAAAAGTAAGTTATAGCTGTATGCCGAACATGAAATCTATCCTAAATGCACACAATCGACAAATTATGAACAACAAAAAAGATCTACCTAAAACCAATTGCAACTGCCTTAATAAAAGCACCTGCCCTCTATCAAACCAATGCTTAACAAAAAACATTGTATACCAAGCTAAAATAAGTTCAACTAATCCTACTACCAATCCTGTCATCAAACTATACATCGGTATAAGCGAAACACCATTCAAAATTAGATATGCCAACCATGTAAAATCTTTTACCATTCAAAAATACAAAAATGACACTGAACTATCAAAAGAATTTTGGAAACTGAAAGATGCAAATTTAAATCCAGTTATTAAATGGAAAATAATTAGGCAGTGCAATGCTTACAACCCAACCATGAAGTCTTGCAAACTGTGTATAAATGAAAAATATCAAATTCTGTTTTCCAAAAATAAAAATCTAATTAACAAAAAAAGTGAAATGATATCCAAATGCAGGCATCGAAACAAGTTTCTTCTCGCCCACTTCGACACGGCTGATTAAACAATTTTCTAATTAAAAATTTTGTTTTGACGTCAGAACTCATTCTATTGCTTTGTTATTGTTTTTTCTGTTAATTTTTGTATTTTGTATTTTTTAACGGTTTTTCTTGTTTTAAAAGAATAAAATATGGCTGATGATTGCCGAAGGGCATGAAACTTCAAGTACCATCAAAAAGTTGTATTTTTTTCAAATAATCAAACTCTATTATTATTATTAATATATATATATATATATATATATATACGGCCCTGTATATATATATATATATATATATATATATATATATATATATATATATATATATATATATATATATATATATATATATATATATATATATATATATATATATATATATATATATATGTATATATATATATATATATATATAAATATATATATATATATATATATATATATTATATATATATATATATATATATATATATATATATATATATATATATATATATATATATATATATATATATATATATATATATATATATATATATATATATATATATATATATATATATACAGGGCCGGCGCTAGTATTTTTTGGTTTTTGAGATAGCTAACTTCCAGACATGGAGCAAACTCCAAACATATATATATTTATACTTATGTCAAATAAGGATGCTTTGCAAAAAATTACAATAATTGGAGCTTGGAAACAACATAGCCCCAAAATTTTTGCCTAGTCTGCCCCAAACGTGAGAGCAGCAAGTTGATAAAATATTTTTTGTACTATTTTTAACTAGACTAATATTCATCGATAAATTTTAAGTTTCATAGTAAAATACTTTAGCGCTCAAAAATTATGACTATATAATGTTTAAACCCCCCTCAATTTGAGGGGGTTGCAAATTTTATATTGTTATAATTTTTAAACACAAAGAAATTATACTATAAAACTTAAAATTGATCGATGAATATTAGTCTAGTTGAAAATAGTACAAAAAATATTTTATCAACTTGTTGCTCTCACGTTTGGGGCAGACTAGGCAAAAATTTTGGGGCTATGTTGTTTCCAAGCTCCAATTATTGCAATTTTTTGTAAAGCATCCTTATTTGACATAAGTATAAATATATATTCGGATTTAATATATCGTTTAAAGACTAGGAGAATAAAACCTCCATTTTGGTGAGATAAAGAAGATCGCGATTTCTTGAAACGCATCACAATAAATTCACTCGGTTTTAATATTTTGATCCATTTGCAAAAATCGAAGAAAATAAAGTAATGAGAAAATGTGTAATCCATAAGAGTGAAGAGGCATAAACATAAAATTAATCAAAATGAAACTAAGTATTAAGTAGATACAAACTCTTAAAATTGTTCGTATGGTAGCGTGTTTTAATTAAATTTAAAAAATTACTTAGCAACCATTATTTAAAAAATCACCGGCTGCGATTTACCAAATAAACAAAATCATCTCAACGTTTGGCATCTCAACGTTTAGCATCTCAACGGTTGGCATCTCAACGTTTAGACGCGATGAGAAAAACAGCATGAAAACTAGTTAACGGAGAAATTTTTAGATAATAAAAAGTATACTCTATACTATAATAAGATATTATTATAGTCTAGCATATACTTTTTATAATCTTTACTATATTTTTAATCGCTGTTATAACACAAATATTTTTACTTACTCCTACTTGTGTTATAATTATTATTATCATTTTATTATCATTCAATTTGATAGGTGTTTTCTTCATATTAGTTCTTACTACTATTTCTAATTAAGTTTGATGTAACAACTTTATTCAAATCTTTCATTCAAATATAAAAAAATTGAGACTTTGCAAGGATCAGAGCAAACGAAAACTCGTTCGTTGATAAAACTTGTCTTGAAGCAAATACTGTTAAATATATTAATTAATATATAAACATTCGCTCTATGCAAAACATTTATGCAAGAACAAATGTGCTTATTTGCAATCTAAATATAGAAATTTGCAAACTCATCGTTCACCGAACAGTTATACAAACACTGGTGTAGGTGAACGTTAGTTGTATGAACTTAGAGCGGATTTAAAATAAAAAACATATCCTTTTTTTTATGAAAAATGCATCATTATATTCCTCAAATTATAAAAAAGATTTTGATTTATGGTTTTTTAGGGATTTGCTAAAAAAAACAATATGTTTGCTTATTTAAAATTTAAAAGACGTTTTAAATTTAACATTTTTTAAGTTTTAATCTTAACGTTTAAAGTTATTATATTATTATATATATTGTATTATATATATTATACTGATACTATATTATATATATATATATATATATATATATATATATATATATATATATATATATATATATATATATATATATATATTATATCATAATATTATATTATATATATTATATTAATATGTACATATATATTTTTAACGTTTTAAAGTTAACATTTTAGGACTACAAATTAGTGGCCGTTGTGCAGGTTAGAGCGCTTGCTTATTAAGCGAGCCAGGGTTCGAATCCAGAGTTCAAAGCGAGCTCTGGGTATATTTCGCATCATCGGTAAAGAAGAAGACGTGAACTTCCTGGTTAAATGTTCTTCCGCTGTGCTCTGTGACAAGACCGTCTTCTTGTGACAAAGCACCGTCTTCTTCTATTGTGACAAGGCCGTCTTCTTGTCACAAAGCACCGCGGTCTTCTGAGAGCACCTATAACAATAAAATTAAAAAAAAAATTTCTCTGTATATTTAATAATTCACCTAAATGTCTATTTTTATATTTTTGTTTTTTGTATATTTAATAATTATATTTGTTCAACTATATTAAAAACTAAAACTAAAAAAACTTTTTTTTAATCTTAAAATACATTTACATGTTATGTGATACAATCAGTATCACGGTCACCGAATCATTGTTCACTAATTTTTGTGACAAAAATCGAGTCATACACCACTTTAATTCCACATTCGCCAAGTTTTAAAGAGTTAATATAATCATGCCTGTTTTGTTTAGAACCTATTAGATACTCCGATTTGCCAGGATACCCAGAGTAGACACATTTTGCACATTTTTTTTGCCATTCGAACCAAAGACCATCGAGCATTGCGTGATGAGACCAAAATTCAGGCGAATATGAAGCGTATTCGGTTCCCATATGACCTCCTAAATTGTATTAAAAAAGCAATTTGAAATAAATTATAAATTGTATTAATGCAGTTTATTTAATTTATCTATATACTCTTGCCTTGGTAAAAATTTTGAAAAAATATATAGCTTTGATGAATATTGGGTAACTTTATTGCTTATATACTATATCATATATATATATATATATATATATATATATATATATATATATATATATATATATATATATATATATATATATATTACCAGTAAATTTATACTAAAATTTAAAAATGTTCTACCGATTGCCTTATGTATAGTATTATGCCAACTATTTCGAACAATTCTCTCGAATGATGGAAATTCGTTTGGAAGTAAATTGTTAATAACATGAATAATCGAAGAAATGTTTGGTACATTGCCATTAAATCTTCGGCGTAAACATTTGTTTAAAAACGGTATACTTGCTGTCTCGATACATTTTACGGACTCAGAAGATTCTTCTTGGTTTATCCTGCAAGTTTCTAAAATAACATTTTTCCTATCTTCAAACTTTGATGTTTTCCAATTATTCAGATTAAAAATGCCTTCTGTAACACAATAACCCATGTTTTTTGCACCATCGCCCCCAAACCCACCGTATATATCCCACATATGATGTGTTGGAGTAGATTCCCAAACAGAGTTTGAAAAATAAGCCCAGTTCCAGAATGGTAATGTTACACGGCAATCGATAACCCGAAGTAAACTTTCAAACTTCAATATGTAACTATAACAATTTATTTTTAAAAAACGTTTTTTAGAATAATAACATGCAATATTAGGGTGTTTCAATTCCTACAACTTTTTAAAAATGGCTACGTTACATGCATAATGGGGTTAATAATAGGCAAAAAAAAAAAAAGTAAATTTTTCAAAATTTTAAAATGTCATCTAGAGGTTGCCAACCTGAAAAAGTGGTGTTTCTTACACTTTTTCAACTTTAAATTTGAATAACTTAAAAAATAATCAATTACATGTTACATTACTTGGTGTATATACCAAGGGTTATTAGATGAAATTTGGTCAAATATTCAGAAAAATTGCTTAATGTTTCGAGGTCGCCGTATTAAAATATAAAGCTCCAAAATTTTTTATCTTTTAAAATTTTAGTAAAAATATAATTAAAATTCAATCAGGCTATTTTTAGACATTAACTTTTCTTAAAAATAACTATAGAATAAAAAAGTTTTTGGCCTTGGGGTAAAAAAAAGTTTCGTTACCATTATTGTTTTGGTAAAGTCTGTCAATTTTTCATTAAATAAAGATAAAATAACAAGCTCTTCTGTTGAATACTAAAGGTTTTGGTTAATTGACTAGAAAACTTAGCCATGCGGTGTATCATAATTCACACATCATTAGACATAATAAATTTATCAGATAAGAGTTCCATTTTTTAAAATACATATAGAATCTTGCATTGTAAACTGCACCTGGTTTGTGAATTTTGAATATTCTGCCCACAGTTTTCCCCCAAGGTAGATAAAAGTAAATTCAATTAACTCAAGATTGTCTTCTCGCGGAAATATTTTCTTGTCGAGGCATTGGTAAGCCCATTTAAGTACTTGCTTGATAAACTTGTTTGATTAAATATCTTATTATTAATTAAATTAATTTATTAATTTTATTATTATAATTAAAGTCTTAAAACTTGCTTGATTATTAATATTTCTGATTTGATTTAGTGGGCCATTCAAAAATATTAAAATTTGAGTAATTAGTATCAATTCTTGAAAATTTGGCTTGGAAACGTTTAAAAATGGGCTCATCTGGACTCTTGCTATCTCATCGTAATGCGGTGAATGCATGTTTGATGTGTAGCTCATTATGCGGATAGCGACATGCTAGCCAAAGGTAAGGTTTCTTTAACTTAATTTTAATTCAAGTTGCTGCTCCTTTTTTATTGTCTGTGTTGCTGGCTGTTGTATCAAACCATATACCAACAATGTTGTTGAAATTTTTTTCAAAATTTTCCAATCAATTATTGAATTTTACCTGTCGAGTCTTTAATCAAAGGTACACGAATAACTTTTTGCCTGCAAATAAAAGTTTTCTTTCAAAATAAAAAAATATATATATATATATAAATAGGATTTATATAAATAAATAAATAAGTACCCATTATGAGATCCGCTATTAAGAACTGTTACATGTTCTTCATTATGAGCTATGTCTAAATGAAAAAGGTTCGAATCTCAGAGCAAAACGGCCTTTTTTGGTCTGACAATGCACAGTTGATACTGACATGGAAATATCATTAAGTTTGCCTCCGCTTTTGCAGATGATAGTTGATTGAAACAGAAGCTGTTAGCCCACTGATAAACATCATCGGTCTTTCTCTGATGCCGTAATTTTAAAACACCTAGATTGATGCTATGTGTCACTTTCTGCAATTTTATGATATTCTTTTGATAAAATGCCTAATCTTCTTTCCATTTTGGTCTACGTGTTATCAACAACTGTTCATATGCATTTACCGCTGTAATATCGCAGAGTTGTTCAAGCTCATTACAAAATCTGACAATTTTTTCTTTTCCAGCTTTAACATTTTGACTTGACTGATTAATTTTCTTTATTTCACAGTTTCTCCCAACAATTTGGTAAGCAATGAAAGACTAGAATTATCTGATCGAATTGGGACTTCAGCTTTTTCCCAAACTTTCTTAAGCTCTCTAAGAACAAGTTTAAAAATATCTCTGGCAGGAGTGTCACTTTTTGAATAAAAACTTAAATAAGAGTATCTACCTAATTTATGTTTTTTGTTGGTAGGCGATCGAAGCTTGATAATTTATCGGATTCAGGGTTACCAATTAACCAATCTTGATTATTTTTTCCAAGGTTCATCGTTATAACAAAATATTCGCTTATTTAATAAACTAGTTTCAAAAATATTGTTAAAATTTCAATTTTTGCTAATTGATATAAAATCCAACTATTTTTTTATAAGTTTATAAAATTTATATAAACACATGCAAATGTTTACTTTTCAATGAAAACTTTTTAATCACGCAACGACATTTTTTTTTTTTTTTACTTTTTAGATCTTAACTTAAATTTTGCGACTTCCTTTAAAGCATTAAGGTGGTAGACTGCTAAAAAAGTTAGAAAAAATCGATTTTTCAAGAGACGCATTATCTTAAACAGTAACTGTTGCATAGTCTAAAAATATATAGATCTTCATATGAGAAAAAGAAATTTAGAACTCATAAAATATATTTATTTTATCAGGGCAATTTTGTTTCCCCTAGCAACGCTCACAGCAACGGCTAGTTAATGATAGAAAATAAAAAAAGTTTAAAAAACAAAGAAAAAATCTTTGAGAAGCTTGGAAAAGGTTCGATAATAAATACAATGATGAAGAGGAACAGTATATAAACAATTTTTAACCTGTTTTTATAAGTTTCTATATTCAATATTTTAAATTTTATATGCATTTTTCTTTGCTTTATACTTCTAAATTTCTGGCGAAGATTGCAAAAGCTGTAATTGTCCAATTGACTTCAAATTTTTTCACAGAGATTCATTACAATAAGCATTATGTCCTGAGATAAAAAAATTAAGAAAACAAATTTTTTTTTAATTAATTTTGGTTTGTTATATCAAAAGTTTGATCTTTAATTAGGCGCATTGAAAAATCTTGATATGCTTTAAAATAAAGAAATTTTCAGCAAAAAGTTTTATCTCAGGACGTTTATTTACATAAAAAGAATAAAACTGCAAAAAATTAGAACTTAATACATTATACTTTTTGAGAAATCTTTGGCAAGATTTTAGCATATTTTAGACCTAAAACCACCTGTTTTTACCCAAAAATTACGAGGGAAAAAAAAAAAAAAGTTACATTTTTTAAAATGTAATTATAATATTTAAAGTAAAAAAATCAATTGAAATAGTGTTAGATACAAAAAAAAAAAATTTAACAGTCTACTTTAAGTCTATAACAGTCTACCTTAAGTCTTTAAGTCTATAGTTTAAATTTTTTAGTAAAAAAATATATTAAAAAATAAAACTTTATAATACGGCGACCTCTAGACATTAAACAATTTTTTTGAAAATTTTGAAAATGTTCATCTAATAATTTATTATATATACCAAGAAACATATGAAAATATTAATTTTTTAAGTTATTAAAATTGAAAATACGTAATTTTTTCAAAATGACGACCTCTAGATGATATTTTAAAATTTTGAAAAAATATATATATATATTTTTTGCCCATTATTTACTCTATTAAGCATGTAACGTAACCATTCTCGAAAAATTGTCGGAAATGAAACACCCTCATGCAATATGCCATTAAATGAGCTGGTGAGAAAAATGGTGTAAGGCAACGTTTTTTCAATTTGAGATTTTAAAGGTTTAATTAGATGTACTGTAGCGAAAAACCTTCAAACTAAAAAAAAAAGCAGTTATCAGTTTCTTTACACAAACTTACACCTTACACCAGTCTCAAATTTAACAAAATGATGCTTTATATCATAAATATTGACTTTACTTAATTTTTTTTTCGACTTACACCGTGCTGATTCTCTCTAGCTCAAATATTGTTTATTTTCATATAGTGTGTATATATATATATATATATATATATATATATATATATATATATATATATATATATATATATATATATATATATATATATATATATATATAAATATATATATATATATATATATAAATATATATATATATATATATATATATATATATATATATATATATATATATATATATATATATATATATATATATATATATATTTATGTTTATATATAAAAAATTTTTGGATATTATATTCAAAGAAATTAAGCCTTTAAGGAAAGAATTAAGGAAAATGTGTAAATTTAATCAAACGCGAATACTATTTTTATATAGTAGCGAAAACGACTTTATTAATTCTTTTTTTATTATTACATTATTCAACTTTATTAATGTAGGATTTAATAATAAATATATTTAGGAAATTTTTGATACAAATAAACTTAGTTTTATTATTTACCTTCGATGCCATGGATAAAACTGCTTAGCTTCATGAATACCGGACCAAAAATATTTTTGATGCGACATGACAAACTTTTCATAGATTTCAATATATTTTGGGTTAACAGAAAACTCTTTGAACGTATTCAAATACAAATCTCTTTCCTCCCTTGACATGGAAGAAAACTCTCTGCGAACACGTCTGCAATTTACCAGTTTACCATCAACGCAATCACACCTTCGACTACATTCATCCAATTGTAACTTGTAATTTTTGGAGCATAATTGACGGTTAGCTTTACACAATAATAAAAAAAAAAGTTTTTTTTAATTTTGAAAAAACTTTGCTTAATATAATTTGTCTGCTATTTTACTTGTCAAAACTATTTTATTTTCCTCAAAAAAAGTAAAAACTATTTTATTTGCCTAAAAAACATCTTAGTAAGTTGCTTTCACCAAAACTAAGGAGCATAAACTTCTTTAGTTTTGGTGAATGCAACTTACCAAGAAGAGAAAAACTCTTTAAATATTGCAATTTAATTATAGATTTAGTTAGAAAAAATTTTCTTTAACTTATTCATGATATTGTAGATAAAAAAATGGCGTTATGTAAACTTGTTCGTATGACGCAAAAGCGGAAACATGGATGTGAAAAAAGGTTAAATTACACTGACTAAAAGTACTCTGTAATATTTAGGTTTCCAAAAAAAAACGTTCTTCCTATCATATCCCTATAAACCCTATCATATCAAAGGGTTTTAAATAACTAATGGTTTTGCCAACCCTATCAAATCACAATTCACAGCAGCCGTGGCGCAGTGGTAGCGCACTTGCCTCAGAAACAAAGGATCCCTGGTTCAAACCCCACCTCAATATCAATCAATATCAATGTATATTTTCTGAAATATTTGGTCTTACATACATTTCAAGGTTGTTTACAAATAGTATAAACTACTAACTTCACGTAAACACCTAATGATAACGATTAAAATAGTAATAATGATAAAGATAATATTTATAATAATAATAATAATAATAATAAATAATAATAATGACATTTTATTTTAACAATAGTAATAATAATATACTAATTAAAATAATTTAAATAAATCAGTAAAATTTTCCATACAACAATCGTTATTACATACAAAGTTACAGTTACAAACAGTAATTAACTGACAAAACGTAACAACTAACGATGACATAAAAACAATCACTGCTAAAAAAAATTGTACAGATTTAGTAAATATATTTTTCTTATAATAACCGAAATATATTGCAAATAATATGACAAAGCAAATAAATAGAATGCAAAAAAGAAAAATACTGAGAAAATCAAAGCAAAACAAAAGTTTCAACAAACATTACAAGCAAAACAAAAATTTACGTTAAGTTCATTTGGCAATAAAAAAAAAAAAAACATCAACAACTACAAGAAAAGAACAACATAAATTAGAAATAATAAAGAAAGAAAAAAAAAAAAAAGTAATAATAATACACGGTAGAATAAAACATTTATAACAAATGCTTAAAACGAAAATAAAAACAAAAAATATAACACTATAAAAAATTAGATATCACTATTTAAAAATAATTAAATAACTAAAAAATAAAACAATAAATGACTAACAAAAAATAATAAGTAGATTTTTATACGCTAAAAAACTAAAGAAAAATCATTACTACAAGACCGCTTAAATAAAAAATGAAATCGTAAACAATGAATCCTAAAAATATATGAAAGAAAACTAAAGAAATATATGAAATAAAACAAAAGAAATATATGAAAAAATAAAAAAATCTTCATTTTCCGATCTTTTTTCGATGCATAAAGTTTTTTTTTCCTTTTTTTCCATTCTTTTTATTTATTTCATTCATTTTTACTTCTATTTTCTATACTTATTTATTTATTTTCTTTCAGATGATCTTTTCTTGCTTTAAAATATTTATTTTTAGTTGATTTTATTATTGGCTTAATTTATAAATGTTTTCTTTTCTTTCTTTTTTCCTCTCTAAAAAAGTTGTTTTTATCCGTTTGAAAAAAGCGTCCGCCATTTGCAATGTCATTGCAAAGAATTGCCCACCTCTGGGCAAGTTTTGCGACATCGGTTTGAACTTCCTATAATGGTGCTTTGTGATAAGACCGTAAGGATTTCTTGGGGCACCTAAATAAAAAATTGATTAAAAAAAAAAAAAAAAGTTTATAAGAACTGATGTTTATGCTAATCCCGTCATATCAAAGAGTTTATAAACTCTTATTATAAATTTATAATAACTCATGTTTTTACTGACGCTATCATATCAAAGAGTTGATAATAACTCATATTTTTGTTAACGCCATCAAATAAAAGAGTTTATAATAACTCATAAATAAAAGTTTATAATAAGTTTTTTAATATTGTAGATGAGAGGGGGAAACATTGATACATTTTCTGACATTAAAAGCTGAATATTATATTTAAAGTGGAAATAATAACTTGTATATGTTCCAGTACGTATCCTGCATATTTTAGTACCGCAATTTTATTGATTAGAACATAATTAAAATAAATACAGCCTAAAAAGTAAGGTAAAGATTTGTGTATCAACTTGCCCCATGCTGGGGCAAGTCGATACATTTAATAAGACTTGAAAATGAAGCTTTAAAAAACTAATTAAGTAATCAAACACAAAAGATTAGGTAAACAGGTAAACAAACATTATTATGTATTTGTTTAAGTAAACAAATACAAAAGACAAAAAACATATATTTTATTAGGCTTATTTACCTATTTACTATCTATGCGAGAAAAAAAAAACATTAGTCTACACCAAACAATTTAATTACAAAAATACTTTTTGCCATTTTTAAATGCTTTACAGTATCATCTACAGGGGTAGATGATACAGTGTAGCAATTTGCCTCAAGTGGTATGTATCAACGTGCCTTTTAAGACCGCGTTGCATTAAATTCGAGTTAAATTTTAACAGAAGCAACGAACAAACAAATGACATATGCAAAATCATTTAGCAATGTTTTCTTAAACTTATGGAAGAGTTGATGAGCTAAATGTATTTACCTTTTTTGTAAAATCTCTTACGAAACACGTTGTCAATTTTTTTCAAAAGTTGCTCGATTTACAAAATGCTTCCCAGCTTGATCCACTTTGAAATGAGCAGAAATTTTTTTACATTGGACGTTAGGGAACTAAAAAGCTATTTTCCGTACCAAATCTTATTCGCACAATAAGTGTAATAGCTGTTTTATTAGCTTTGTATCAATTTGCCCCCGTATCAACTTGCCTATCCCCCCCGTCCCCTACTTATATAACTTTAAAGTTGTGGGAACACCATTTAATTTATAAATGATATTAAAAATAAATATTTATATTAAGATGCTTAAATATTTAGGCAAAATATTTTTAATTTTGAATTACATGAATCAAGTTGCTACATAGTTACTATATATCTCTGGGAAAAAATTTGGATCAAATGCAAAAAAAGTACTAATAACTATAAAAATGATTCTTGTTTTACCATATTCAAAGATTTTAATTCACTCTTGTTAATAATGACATTAATACAGGTAATTAAATCTTTTAGCCTTCCTTACCTATCTATATTATCTATTTATTTACTATAGTAAATAAGTTATTTGAAAGTATTTTGTTGTTTCATCGCGGCAAAGCAAAACTATATTAAGCCCATTTTTGGCAAAGATGACTTTTTTGGTTAAAAATACTCCTTATAAAAAGCGTATAAAAAGTATCTTACAATGTATTGGGTCAAAAATAATTAAATTTTGGACTCTATGAGTAAAATTCAAATATCTTATGTCCAAAAAAAATTTAAAAAGACATTCAAAAATATCTTAAGCCCATCTAAACTCAAGCAAGACTATCTTATGTTTATTTTTATGCAGTTTTAAAAATAATATCCTAAATTATTTTTAAAGAAAAACAAATCAAACTTATTAAGAACACGTTACTAAATATACCAGGTGATAGTTATTAAGCAGTTAGTTATAGCATTCTGAGTATCATTCAGAATGTTATAACTAGCTCACAACATATAACAATTATTTTACCTCAGTGAAATAATTCCGAAAGTCGTCAAAGGTTTATTATTTGAAACAATGTATTTATTTTTATGCATGAATTTTCGATTGAGGTACTCTCAAGTCCTTAATGCAAGGGGTGGGCAGAGGCGATTCTACAAATGAAATGAGGAGGTGAATTCTTAAAAAGTACCTAGCTTTGTGAAAAAAGAAAAGAAAATGAAAGGTTCCCGAAATTAAAATTTACCTGACTGGATTGTGTCAAATACTCAACTAGTCGACTAAATTCATAAAATAACCAACTATAACTTGAAAATCACCTTATTTGAGGGAGGGGGGTGTAACACTCCCACACCCCCTGGGTGGGGTTAAAAGGGGGCGGGTTGGTAATTTTAGCCCTGATTTAATAAACGGGGAAGGGGAGGAGAGGGTTAATAAAAGGAAGGGGTGAAATTTTTTTATGTTACATCAAAAGTAGTTTTTATACAAATTTCAGTTAATAAATCCAATATTTCCCCTATTAACCAAGTTGATAAAAATGATACTTTTTAGCTCTAAATGCTTAATATGTTTAATAAATGTTTAATAGCGACAAAGTAGATTAGTTAAATATGATCAATATAGTACATTATATATTAGCGAAGATGTCTACCTAACATATAATGGAAATCGTATTTTAGCGGAACTTTTGAAGCTACTACAGAATGTAAGATGTTGTTTCTTGATATCAGGGGACATTCAATATAATTTATAAAGTGAAACGTAATTGCTACCAAAAATATTTTTAATTATTTGATTATTTTTAGTTAGTTCTACTGTCCACAGAGAGACGATACCTAATGGTTATGGAAGATTTTTTATAACAAAAGTAATGAAAAACTTTAATAAATATCCAGAATTTGATGTTGATAAAACTAGTATTGGTGTAGCAATACTTTGGAACCTGAGTGATTGTGAAAAAGTTTAAACCTGTAGAACTTGACTGGTCTGTTGCTGAAGAATTTATCCCAACTCTCTGTGATACAACCCCCAAAAAGAAGATCCCCAAAAGGATTCATCATAACGGATTAGAAACATTAGGATATTTAAAATAAACACAGGACAGAGATTTCTTTATGTACCGAAGACTGATCTGAATAAAGGAGAGGAAGTAGTGGTACAGGGTAAGGAAATGCAAAAAGGATGTGATAAGAAATGTTTGTTTCAGGATGTAGAGAATCATACGGAACAATATTGTAATGTATTATTTAATTCATATTG